CTAAGGGGAGTTCCCCCACACAAGGTTAGGCAAGCTACTTACCTCGAACCAGCTCAAAATCAACCCAAAACCACGCTCTTGCCACGAGTATCCAACTCCGGGTGGTCCAAATCTAATCAAATTAATCGCGTAATGTAAATATAACTTCAAGTAGCTAATTCAACTAATAAATTCGAAGCTAACACGCGAAATTAGGAAAATCGCCCAAAAAGTCCCCCGGGCCCATGTCTCGGAATCGGATAAAATTCACAAAACTAGAATCCTTACACTCTCACGAGTTCATGCATACCAAATACATCAAAGTCCGACCACAAACAACCCCTCAAATTCCTAAACCAAAGTCTCCAATTTCAAACCTTAAACCCTCAATCTGTAACCACCATTTTCCATAAATTCCTTGTCAAATCAGTGAAATAGCACCATATAAACGAGTTTTGGCTCCAAAAATTTTACCTCCTCGAAGCTCCCTTGAATTCTCTTTCAGAAATCTCCCAAAAACCTTCAATCCCGGATAAAAATAGTGAAATAGAGCTGAAAATCGCGAAGGAACCCTTATATAGGTTTTGGCCCACGGTTTCCGCACCTGCGGCCCTATTCCCGCTTCTGCGGTCTAACCACCCGCATATGAGGTTTTCACTTAATGCACTGGGACCGCACCTGCGCCCATCTACCCGCACATGCGGTCCCGCAGGTGCGATAGAGCACCCGCACCTACGACTTCTGACTTTCCCTCATCTGGCCGCATCTGCGGCTGACCACACGCTTCTGCGGTTCGCACCTGCGGTCCCCAATCCGCAGGTGCGGTTATGATAGGAATTCAGCTGCACACTCTAACTCCCAACTTCCCGTCAACCATCCAGAATCATCCCGAGGCTCCCGAGACCTCAACCAAAAGTACGAACAAGTCATATACCACTATTCAAACTTGTACCAATCTTAAGAACACTCAAGACAACATCGAAGCATCAAAACACCCTCGGATTCAAGCCTAAGGATTCCAAAACTTCCGATTTCCGCATTCGATCAAAAAGTCTATCAAACCTCGTCCGAATGACCTGAAATTTTTCACACATGTCCCAAATTACACAACGGACCTACTCCAACTTCCGGAATTCCATTCCGACCCCGATATCAAAATCTCACTATCGAACCGGAAACTTCATAAATTCGACTTTCGGCATTTCAAGCCTAATTAAGCTACGGACCTCCAAAACACAATTCGAACATGCCCCTAAGCCCGAAATCACCCAACGGAGCTAACGGAATTGACGGAATTCCATTCCGAGGCCGTCTTCACACTGCTTCGACTACGGTCCAAGTTCTAAAGCTTAAGCTCTCATTTAGGGACTAAGTGTCCCAAAACACTCCGAAACTCAAAACGAATCCTCCCGACAACTTACAATAGCAGAAATAGATACGGGGAATGCAGTTAATAGGGGATCGGGGCGTTAATTCTTAAAACGATTGGCCGGATCGTTACACCTGATGAGAGTTTTATCGGTGCTACTGTAAGGTTTTTGCGCTTGGCTTGTGGATACACATTCACCATTTTCAAACGGAAGTGTACATCTGCTGCTTATGTAATAGCTAGTTTAATATTTACTAGCATTTTAATAGATTGCAGTTATTTACTTCATGTTGTAGTAGCTGGCCATTTTGTAAGATTGAACCCTATATATATATATATATATATATATATATATATATATATATATATATATATATATATATATATATATATATATATATTAGCCATTAGACATCATGCTTTGTGGTATATTTGCTATAAAAAAGATATTACACTTCATACATATATAGGAAAAATATTTACAAAATATCCAGTAGGTATGTACATTGTATACCTTTGGGGTATACAATTACATACAAAATCATGTTGCGTAATGTGTTAATGAGTGAATTTTATAAATGGTTAGAGGCCGGTAATTTGTTTCTCCAAGATAGTCCTGTAAAAATATCTTTCTAGAAAAAATAACTGGGATGATGACTTTTTGGGCCAACTATTAGAGTTTAGCCACTGTTTGAAATGTAATAGGAACATAGCCACTTTTTAATGCGGAAAAGAAATTCGGACAAAAATTTCCTTACCCTAAACACGCAAAACTCCAGCATAATATACTAGAGTTTGAATTTTTGAAGTCCGGTAACAAATCATGGAGTTTGAACTAGTAAATATTCAAACTCTAGTAGTTGCTTCTAGAGTTACGAACTCCAGCATACGATGTCGGGGTTTCGCATATAGGGAAATTTCAAACTCTAGGAATAATTCCCGAATCTTGATCTTATAAATATTTAAAGTCTAGGAGTTGCTACTCGAGTTTTTCATATTTTATCTTGGGATATTTTTGTCCAAATATTTATTGTGTAAAAAGAGCAGCTAAATGCTAATAGCATTTTAAATACTAGCTAAACTCTAATAGCAAGGGGTTAATTAGTCATTTTCCAATTGGAATTTTTTCCTTCATATACACTATTTGAAACTTTATTACCCTCCCTACTCAAGTTTTAGTTTAATTACAAAGGCATATACAATTTACCAATTATATACATTTTAGGAATTAAATGAGTTTCCCTTTATATTAGGAATTGAATGAGGAATCAATTATTTCTCATCCTTATTCACTCTCCCTCTTGCGCGCTCTCTCTCTCTCTCTCTATATATATATATATATATATATATATATATATATATATATATCTCCGTCTCTCTCTGTCTCTCAATCTGTCATTCTCTGTTCTTTCCCCAATTTTTCTTCCTATGATGTTCTCTATTTTTTATCATTTCATGTTGTATATATTTTTAATGGAATTCATCAATGAGTTTCAATCGTTTACTATAGAGTTTTAACTTAGCAATTTCCTTTCATGCTGCATAACTGGTGTTCAAATTGAAATTGTCAATCAATACTTTTGAAGGTGTTTGACTCTCCACCATTGACAGCCATTAAAAAGCTTTGAAGCTTTGAATTCGAATTTGGGCTTTTAAAAAATATTATTTATTTGGAAGAAGAGAAGAAGAAGAAGAAGAAGAAGAAGAAGAAGAAGAAGAAGAAGGCATGACATACAATATACTTACGAAATTGTAGTAAGGTTGTAGTATAATTATATGTAAATTGTATACTGTTGTAGTTATCTTTTTTTTTATTTGAATGTTGTATGAAAGTTAAAAAATAGTTGTATAATGCATGAATCGTTGTATAAAATTTGTATTTAAGTTATCAATACTATCGCTTTACATTAAATTGTTGATATATGTCAAAATTACATTAAGAGAGAAAGTTTTGATTGGAATTTTAGAGAGGAAGAAACACATACTACATACAAAATATATATAAATCATATACAAAATATACAAAAGACATATTGTATAAAATCTGTATGAAAATTTTATTTAAGTTTTATGATGTTGCAGATGTATTTTAAGTGGGTTAAAATAATATATGAAAGTTGTAGATAAGTTGTAAATAAGTGTATACTATATAATTAGTTGTATGAAATTTATTTTTCGTATGAATATTGTTGTAGATATATCAATTTGTATTAAATTTGTACGAAATTTATTTTTAAATTTTTATGCTGGTGTACCACCAAATTGTATAATATTAATTGTAAGTACGATGTATCCATTTTAGTGCTGATTTAAATAGGTTTCGTTAATTTGTGATAGACTAGTGTATTGGGTAAGTTAATCAATCAAGTGAAGTAGAATACTTTACTGGCCCCGCACGATAGTTATTAATCTCGTAAAATCTTTGGACAAATTTTGATATATATCATAACTTTATGTAAAAAAAAATAGTATTGATAACTCAAATACAAATTTAATACGACGATTTATACATTATACAACTATTTTTCAACTTTCATACAACATTCAAATAAAAAAAATATATGACTACATCAGAATACAATTTACATACAATTATACTACAACTTTCCTATAATTTTGTAAGTATATTATATGTCATGTGTTCTTCTTCGAGTTTCAATCTGAAATTCAGCCAAAACCAAGTCTAATCTTCACCACCACCACCAACAACAACAACAACGACCCAGTGAAATTTCACTAGTGGGGTCTGGGGAGGGTAGTGTGTGCGGAGACCTTACCCCTACCCCGAAGAAATAGAGAGGCTATTTCCGAAAGACCCTCGGCTAATCTTCACCAAACACCCTCAAAATTGAGATATAAACTCCAAACAATATTTCCAATTATTTGCAACAACACCCAATCCAAATAAATAATGGTTTTTGAAAATCCAAATTCGAATTCAAAGCTTTATGATAGATTAGTGTTCGAATCTTCAATTCCTACGACCTTCTTACTAGGTGCTGAATTCATCTCTTGAAAAATACTATCAAACTGCAGGATAATCCGAGTTTCAAGAGAGCACAATGTAAACCGAAGTATCACAAGTTTGAATTCAATAACATTCTTGCACTGAGAAAGTTCCATACTTAGTGGGTAATGTAAAAAAGAAAAGGGCAAACCAGTGACAAACTGGAGGTTACTTCAATAGGTTGATTAGCAGAAGACAACTTTTAGGCTTACCTTATTGAGAGATAAAAGACGGTGAGAAAGAGTGATGAAGAAAGAAAGAAAAATTGATGAGAGAGGCGCCAGTGAGGAAAGAGGAGAGGAGAGAAAAAAAGGAAAATGATGTAACTAAATCCCCTAATTTAAGGCACTAATAATAGATTGTACATAATTTATAAGTAATCCTTGTTTAGGATGGGTAATATATAAAACTAGGATAATTTTGATAAATAAATTTCAAATAGTATATAGGAAGGAGAAAATCCCTTTCCAATTTCTTCCATTTTTCTAGCCTAGGCTGAGAGTGAGATTCTGAAAAGTCAAATTGGACTACGCATTCCCACAAGCCCAATTAAATAAAAGCCCAAATTACCAATTCAAGGGCCCACACATAATCCAGCCCAAACCCATCCAAAACCCTAAATCCACTATATACATTCATCTCTTTAGTTTGCCAAGTAGGGTTTCACTTACTCTCTGCGCACACACACACACACACAGCGGAGAGAGGCGGAGGAAAATGCCGGCCGGTCATGGATTGAGGTCGCGTACGAGAGATTCATTCTCTCGTGCATTCAGAAAGAAGGGTACCATCCCACTTTCAACCTACTTGAGAATTTTCAAAATCGGGGACTATGTTGATGTCAAAGTTAACGGTGCTATTCACAAGGGAATGCCGCACAAGTTCTATCATGGTCGTACTGGCCGTATCTGGAACGTCACCAAACGCGCCGTCGGTGTAGAAGTTAACAAGCAGGTCCCCTCTCTCTCTCACACACACACATTAATATAAATATGTTTACTCTTCAATTGTTTGTTGATTTGTAGCTTAAAGTAGTTTATTGATTGCTTCTACTTGTGTATTGGAGATCTGTTAACAATTTTGAGGGTTCAATGAATGAGGATTCATATTACTGACCTTGACTAGTTAGGGTAGTTTGGGATTGAATCATAGTTTTGTTGTAAAATTGATGAGAATGTAATACTAAACTGATATTGCATACTAAGCTAATGTGAGGCTTCAGCATTTGTCAATAGAATGCTAAACGGCTGACAATTATTTGGATGCAATTGTTAATAGTGGGAACTAAAATATTGTGAATGGCTCGAGTTATTCATGCTTGAAATCATTTCTTAACAATCCCGTCTTTTTACATAAATAATTTCCGGCATCAAAGAGAAGTTATCAAATGTCAATCAACCAATTTGATTTCATTTCTAAAAGAATGTAATTATTATTTTGTAAATTGTGTCGAATATTTAAAAGTTACGAATGTCTATCAATCAACTATCTTTCAACCCCAAACAAATTGGGGTTGGTTGTATGAATTCACTGGTTGTGAATGCAATTGGTTGAGATACATATTTTCATTTGATCATGAAAGCAACTTGGTTTTCCCTCCTTTACTAGGCATTTGCCAGTATATGCCAGGATAATCAAAGACATACTATTTATTTCTGTATTCCTCTTTTTTGCATATTTGGGTGTGGGGAGTGTGGATATTTATTTTTTTGATTTACTAAATTGGAAGTTTAATGGACTGAGGGTATCTTGGATGTCTGCTCTCCTTGTTTTTGTTTTTACGCTTATGCGTTGTGCCTATTTTAAATTTTGTCCTGCTTGTTCTGGATCTCAGGTTCGTAACAAAATCTTAAGAAAGAGAATCCATGTGAGGATTGAACATGTTCAGCTTTCCCGATGCACTGAAGAAGTCAAAGAAAGGATTAAGAGGAATGACCAGCTAAAGGCTGAGGCCAAGGCTAGAGGAGAAGCTATCAGCACGAAAAGGCAACCCCTGGGACCCAAACCAGGTTTCATGGTTGAAGGCGCTACATTGGAGACTGTTACCCCCATACCATATGATGTGGTTAACGATTTGAAGGGAGGCTATTGATTTTTCTCTGTTTATGAGCCGGTGATTGTTTATGTGCTTTTATGAAATTTAAAGACAGGATTAGTTTTTGGTGTCACCTCAGACCCTGCTTTTTAGTTATAAATTTTGTTTACAATATCAGTTGAGGACTTCATCGAACTTGTTGGCTCTAAATGGAAGTGCAGAATTATCTATTACTACTAGATTCTATCCTTTGACTTGTGAGTTTTCAGTTCAGCTTTTGAACTAATTTGAATTACGCAAAACGTTGCCTAATATTCATCTAATTGGAGATTGCAGTATGAGGCAGGTCCCTAAGTGTTTGGATGGTGAATATGAGTTTAAAAAACTTCTTTGATGAACTATTCAAACACCAATTGTGCTGCACATGTAATAAATAGTGAGCTGAAACAAAAGCACAAGGACATGGGATAATTATTCAACAATTACAAGTTCTTGTCGTTCTCTTTTCTAATTTACACCATGTTTTCCTTTAGTTGCCATTTCGATGAAAATGGTTTGAGTAGTAGTTGTTCAATTAACAACTGATACATTTGAATCATAAATATCGGGCCCTCAGCGTTCAATCTATCTGTAGAAGCAGAGAGGATGCAATGTGCAAAACCTTAATGCTTCTGCTACGGTTAGGAGGATAGCTCAAGAATACCCTTTTTTGAGAGTTCAAGAACGTCAATCATGCATAGTTTGTCACAGATTTGTTGAGACTCAGAAATATTTGTTCTGCCAATTTTAAGCAGACAGTGCTTATGTATTATGACTCTGGTCCTGCTGGTTTTGCATTGAGAAGTGGTTGCAGTGCCTTGACGACTATTGTCATATTTGGCCGAAAATCTGCCTCATATTGAACACAAAGTGCTGCAACAGCTGCCATCTGAGAGGAATGTATACATAAAAGCTATAAGTGGAGTGAACAGTTAGACAAATATAACATTAAAGATTAATGGATATCCAAGACCTCTTTGAACTAGTTTTACTAAGTAATACTAGCAAAGATCAGTAAGAAAACCTTAGCAATTGCTTTTGCAGGATAGTCATTATTTAGCTTTGGATCAACACACTGCTTCACTTTGTCTTCACTCAGTCTTGGAGTTGCCTGCAGAAAATTTTAGAATGAATCAGTAGATTTGTGGTATGAATAAAGTTAATTAGAAAGAGGTAGAATAATAAGGTACCCATGTGACAAGACTCTGTTGTCCTTTGGGCATTGTATGATCTACTGGCTTCCTTCCTGTCAAGAGTTCTAAGAGAACAACTCCAAAACTATAGACATCACTTTTCTGTGTTATCTGTCCTGTCATGGCATACCTGCACAAGGACATCGTCTTTATATCGATTATCTACTGCTTGTAACAAGTGCTTTAAGTATATTATTATCATGGTTCTTATCGATAGGAAATTTTCCTTATTAAAGGTAGGGGTAAGTTCTGCACACACACTACCCTCCCAGACCCCACTACTCCACTTGTGGGATTACAGGGTCTGTTGTTGTTGTTGTCGATAGGAAATTTCTTTGTATTTACTATAATGATGAGTTATTTTATAAAGCCTGGTAAACAGAAAGCCTACGTTGAGAAAATAAGGAGGGGTGCGATTGCAAGTTATAATAAACTCAGAATGCAAGGCTTACTCTGGAGCATGGTAGCCAAATGTCCCCAAAACTCTAGTGGAATGCAGACGAGCTGCTGTATCGGAAGAGTGGTTTGTCAAGTTGAAATCAGCAATTTTTGCTGTAAAATCATCAAAGAGAAGTACATTGCTGGATCTGACATCACGATGAACAATAGGCGGCTGAACTTTTTCGTGTAAGTACTCGAGGCCTTTTGCTCCACCATAAGCAATTTTAACTCTCTGATTCCAGGTAAGAACTGGACCTGGCTCAGCACCTTGTACACCTTTTCTACCTACAACAAAACATCCAACAATCAACTATGATGCTGCATTATATCTGCACACATTTGATGCCTTTTGTATCTAAAGCATTAGTCGTTTGTGCAGCGTGCTATTAGTGAAGTTCCGCAATCATGAAAAGTAATTAACAGTTCAGTTTGACATACCATGTAATACATCATGTAGAGAGCCCATAGCTGCAAACTCGTATACCAAGATTCGATTGTTTGCTTCTAGACAATACCCCATAAGAGTCACAAAATGCTCATGCTTAAGTCTTGAAACCATTGATAACTGCATAGATAGAAAAAGTAAATTGCATGTAGTATGTCCTTGCCACAAAAAGAAGAGAGAAATGCCATTATTAGGAAATTCACCTGGGCTGTAAAGTCAGAATCTGGTTCTGATGAAGAACTAGTATCCAACTTTTTAATTGCTGCTTGCTGCCCATCGCTTAATTTAGCAAAAAATACGCGTCCATAAGATCCCTCTCCGATCAAAGCTTTCTGACCAAAATTACCAGTCAATTTATTTAGCTCATCCAATGGCACAACCGGTATCTCAATTGGTAAAACTTTCTGCGGAGTTCCAGTTTTTGCACCACCCCTTGGCTCTCCTCTATCACTGGCTACAACACCAAAAAAGCTAAACTTTGATATACAAAATACTGGATTTAGGGAGAAGAAAGGGATGGTTCTCCTTTCAAGCAAAAAAGGGCAGCCCGGTGCACTAAGCTCCTGCTATACGCGGGGTCCGGGGAGGAGCCGGACCACAAGGGTCTATTGTACGCAACCTTACCCTGCATTTCTGCAAGAGGCTTTTTCCACAGCTCAAACCCGTGACCTCCTGGTCACAGGGCAGCAACTTTAGCAGTTACGCCGATATCCTGCTAGTTCATGTAGATAAGGCACAAACTTGCATAAAAAACAATTTGATGCTATATCTATTTTTTCTAAAGTAATGCTCTAGCTTAATATAGGCGGTTTTGATCCCAAAACTATAAAGCTATATATAGCTAAGATAATTCTTTCAAGTATATGAAAAGAGAGGGTAGGAGAGCAAATAACATACCCCTACCCGGTGTTTAAATTAAACCTAAATAATTTAATCTTAAAGTTGAAACTAAAATGATAATATATATCACTTAACCATGATTAAATAATAAAAGTGTATATACAAGATGCATGTCTGTGTACTTATTGATTTGGAGTAAACACCGGGTACTGGTAAAAAAGATACGAGTAGGAGCATACCACCACCGTAGGGATTGCCGGCTCCGGGAGGGGCTGTATTTTGGTTAGACGGCGGACCACCACTGTGTACGTCTTCTTCTCCACCTCCACAACACGACATTGTCGTTCAATTATGGAAGGCGCAATCTCTCTTCCAAATGCTGGTTTTATTAATCCATATAAATTGCAATGCTTCCGAGTAAAATTTTATATGCTACACAGCAATTTCCTATGAAAATTTTAAAAAGATATTGCTTAAAATACAGGTCCAACAATTTAAAAAAAAAAATAAATAAATATATATATATATATATATATATATATATATATATATATATATATATATATATATATATATATATATATATATATATATGTAACAAAAAACCAATAAGAATGGGGTATTTAAGCTGACAATCATGAAAGGGAAGCACCGGAGAAAAGAAAATCGTTGTGCTTTATCCCGTTGAACCAAACATGTTTATTTTAGGTGTTTTACTAACTAATTTACAGAATAATTATAATTACAATATTAAAATGATAAATAGGAGATATATTACGTACCAAATTTTTTATGAAAACACCAATCTATCTTGAAAATGAATCTGGAAAAAGGGGGAGACAGAAAGGAGATGGAAGATTGAAAAACAAAGAAAAAGGAGAAGGGTGTTGCTTTTTCATGGCTGCATTTCTCTTTCTTGCTTTTTTATTTTTTATTTTTTATTTTTTTGTTGCTAAATTTCTCTGTTTCTACTATATTATGGATCTTTGGTAGATTGCAAAAAATGATTTTTCTGTTTTAAACGGAAAAGTCGCATGGACTCATTTAACCGCTAAAAACCAACACATTTTTACGAGTATATATACATGCAGTTTTTCCTTTTCCCTTTACTTTTTCTTATTCAAACTATAACAAATGTATTGACAAGGTAAATTACAGTGTTAGTATACATAATTCTTGCCTTTAGCTCAATTAATAAATCAAGCGACAAACAGCTTTTCCAAATCTTGCCTTTGGCCTATCTCACTCTAAAAATTTCATCTTCTTATCCGTTAAATAAATTGTGTCCATAACAAATCAGAATCATTCTCAACGGGTTCAATTTTTTCCTATTAATTGGTAAGAAATAACCAAAAGAAGAAATAAATTAACTTTATTTCATGCAAATTATTAGGTAGTGTATACCTTTTACATCAGAGTGGAGTATGACTTATATGCTATTTTCATAAGAGATGATACACAACATATGCAAAAAGGCAAAGTATAACATACTTATGATCTTCTGAAAAAATTGAGACTGTACAATTGCCTAGATACTACTAATTAACTTCTCTAATGCTCCTTCCATATACGACCTGTGACTTTCAATGTAAGCTCTTGTCCATTATTCCCACCAGAAAAGAAAAGTGCCAAGCTTGTTGGAATAATAAGTCCATCTTGACAGTCGCGAACTTTTCTGTGGCTGTCTCGGATACTCCTAGGAATACCTTGCCATGTCAATTTACGCCCAAAACCACCAACTTCTAGACTATACTTGAACATTTTGGCTTCAGTGTCCTCGCCCATAAATCGTAGAAAGGCCATGTAAACTGGTGTCATACCAAGTGAAAATGCCTCAAAGTGCAAGCAGAACTGTTTTCCATAACAGTCGAAAACCTGCATTGTGTAAAAGATGTCATTTTGCAATCTGGGAGCCGTAACATAGAAATGTAAGGCTTTTGTAACGACCCAAGCCCAACTATCAAGGTATTGTTGCTCCGACCCAGCCTTTGAGGCCTCAGGGTTTTGTCCCCTTGGAAGTTAACGCAAAAGGTGCCTCAACCGTTAAATTCCTAAACTCACCCTTTTTTGTCTCCTAACTTATCCCTCCCATTCCAATGTGGAAGTTCATCAGTTGATAAACAAGGCATTTGATGCATAAAAACAGCATTTACCACTAACTGTTAAAAGTAGCAGAGACTTACTGTGAGCATCCATATTGCATTGTCAACTTCCTCTGGATTTGATTTGACATATCGATGATTGAAGAAACATCCAGTATGCATGTCAATCTTGTGGTCCTCCATAAGATGTAACATGAGTGTTGGAATGTCCCCTTTTATGGGACACTCTGATCCAGCATATGGACAATCATAAGGCCGAAATTTACAACGTTGTTCATGTTTAAGCTTCCGATAGTAGGGTAATATTTTGTGACAGCCAAGATTTTGATGTCTGCAGGGCAATTCCAATGATTCAGCCACTTTCTCCAAGGCTAAACACCTTATGTTTCCAAGTTCAACTTGGCAAGTAGGGCAGAAATTATGTGCTCCAGTCTTGCAATTGGTGCATAGCGTATGACCATTTGGACACTACATGGATTATATAATATGAGATAAAAAGATTGGAATATAAAATACAAGTGCTTATCTATCAGCAAATAAAGCTATATTTATAGGTCTTCTACAAGCAATCTGTTCTAGAAGTAATAAACTTCTTCATTATAGGTGATATCTAGAGTTTGTTCAACATTCTACAACATGTTTAAATGTCTATAACAGTAGTAAAATATATGTTTATGAGCTCGAAATTCAACAAAGAAACAGAGTTTCAGAGTTTATCCCTTCTACACTCAGGTGGATAGTTTGGAAAGAAAGAAATTAGAGAAATCTTGCAAATTCTTATTTTAGTCACATATAAACACTCTTTTCTGTGCTCTTGGATTACACTTAGTATCCTAATTGTATATGGAGACATGTTGACCCAAGTAAAGGTTAGTTTTGAAGACTGATATATTCTCAATATGAGAATTTCACCATGATGGAAGGAGAAACCATCCAGGAGATGTACATAAGGTTCACAACACTAACAAATGAACTTAAATCTCTTGGAATGGTTATTCTTGAAGAAGACAAAGTTGAGAAGATTTTGACAAGGGTTCTGCCAGTTTCTTGGGAAAGCAAAATCACAGCTATTCAGGAATCAAAGAACATTGTCACTCTTAAGTTGGATGAGCTAATTGGAAATCTCACTGCCTATGAACTTAGAAGGCAAACCATGAAGATGGATGCACCCAAGAAGGAAAGGAGCATGGCATTCAGAATCACTGAAGGTGCTGATCTAGAGGAGGATGAAATGACCATGATCACAAAGGAGTTCAAGAAGTACCTAATGAGAGGAAATGGTCCTTCAAGAAGTGGAAGCTACATCAAACCAAGGGTTCCTGAAAAACAAACCAATGAGGGGTGTTACAAGTGTGGGAAGACTGATCACCACATCAAAAACTGCCCTCAATGGGAAATTGAATGGAAGAAGGAAAGAGCTGAACGAAGGAACAGGAAGAAGGAACAGGTTCATCCCAAGAAGAACAAAGGATCAACAAAGGCTATGGTTGCTGCTTGGGAAGAAAGCTCAGATGAGAACTCAGAGGGTGAAGATGGAGATGAACAAGCACTTATGGCAACTGGAGAATCCGATGAGGAATCAGAGGTAAGTATAATTCATCTCAAAGACAAGATTAAATTTTTGTCTAAAGAAAGGCTATCTGAGTTACTCCTGGATTTCATTGATGAATCTGAAGATCTAAACAATGAAAATGAACAGCTATCTAAGGAGTGTGTGATTTTGAAAGCTAAGTACAAAAATCTGGAACTTAGGGCTAGTGAAAGTGGTAGTAAAAATGCTGAGTTAAAGAACCAGGTTCATGAACTTGACACCACTGTCCTAGAGCTTAGATCTGAAAATCTAAAATTGAAATTAGGAACTGGTAAAAAGAATACTGGTCACACATAACTCACTTTAGAAGAAAATGTAGGAAAAATGAAAGATGAGTTGTACAAAAGAGATGAGCAGATAAGAGTCCTTAAGGAGGATCTAAACAAGGTTAAGCACGAGCTAGACAGAACCTGTAAATGGAATAGGTCCTCCGATGCACTTTCATGGCTACACGAACACCATAGTAGCAACAAGAGAGGACTTGGCTACGGGACCCCTGCACCTAAGTGGGATCCCAAAAGCAAGTACCTCACACTTTCTGAGAACAAAATTTGCACACACTGTGGTAAAACTGGTCTACTATAAAAGTGAATGTATTGCAAAAGAAAAGGCTAGTCAAAAGAATAAAGAATTTGTTCAAGGAAAAATAGGCTGCCAAGTTGGGCTAAAAAGAATCTGATTCACCGTTTTGCCTATAGAAAGGGACCCAAACTAGTTTGGGTTCCTAAGACTAACCCCTGATTTCCTTTTGCGGGTCCAAGTGAAGGGGAGCAGCCAAATATGGTACATGGATAGTGGCTGTTCAAAGCATATGACAGGAAGCAAGAACCAGTTCCTTTCACTTGAGAACCTCAAAGGAGGTAATGTCTCCTTTGGAAATGAGAAGAAAGGTGAGATCATTGGGGTTGGAAAGGTAGGTAAGATTGATTCTTACTCTATTGAGAATGTCTACTGGATAGGGCCTAAAGTACAGTCTAATCAGTGTATCACAATTGTGTGATAAAGGTAATTTGGTAGCATTCACCACTACTAAATATTTTGTGATTAATCTTACCATTGATAAGATTGTTTTGCAGGGAAAAAGAGTTAACAATATTTACATTGTAGATTTGTCTACTCTCTCAGAAAATGAACTAGCTTGCTTAAGTGTCTTGGACAATGATCCCCTCCTTTGGCACAAGAGACTTGGACATGCAAGTCTGAGTCAACTCAACAAATTAGTCTCCAAGGACCTGGTGATAGGGCTGCCTAACATCAAGTTCAAGGAAGACAAAGTTTGTGAGGCTTGTGCAAGGGGGAAGCAGGTAAGATCCTCTTTTAAATGCAAGAAAGTGGTAAGCACCACCAGAACGATGGAACTGGTCCATATGGATCTTTGTGGTTCAATGAGAACATTAAGCAGAGGTGGTAAAAGATATGTGATGGTGCTTGTTGATGATTACTCTAGGTTTACTTGGACATTGGTTTTAACATCTAAAGATGAAGCATTTGACATGTTTACTTCTTTTGTTAGAAAAACTTAGAAACAACTAGGTAATCATACTGTATCAATTAGGTCTGATCATGGAACCGAATTTGAAAAATGCTAAGTTTGCTGAATTTTTGCATGCTACATCATAAATAGTTGCATGACTAGACCTCTTGTTAAGAAGATTCCCTATGAGTCACTTAAAGGGAGAAAGCTAAATATATCCCATCTTAGGGCATTTAGATGCAAGTGCTTCGTGCACAATAATGGCAAAGACTCCCTAAGTAAGTATGATCCCAGAAGTGATGAGGGAGTATTCTTGGGATATTCTTCACATAGTAAAGCTTATAAGATATACAATAAAAGAACTATGTGTGTAGAAAAATTGTATATGTTATTTTTTAAAACTAACATTCTTTCTGAGAGGCAGGAGCAAGATAATGAAGAGATTGGGCTGATAAGAAATTCAAATGGTGAAACCACAGTCCAGTCTGAAGATGCATCACAGGAAGGAACAGGTGATGGAACAGGTCCCTCCACCCAGGGCAACATGACAGGGGGAACTGACTAGAGAGGAACTGATCCTCAAACCTCGAGGGAACCTGTCCATGAACCTATTCCTCAGTAACAAAACCAGGAAGGAACATCCAAAGAAATTGACACTCCTATTGCAACATCCACGAAATTGGATATAGATGAACTTGGTTCATCTGTTGATCAGAAGTTGTATAGGGGAATGATTGGTTCTCTTTTATATCT